TCGCTATATATTAACTGTTGTTTATGTAAATAGAAGAATATTATTCGTATTATTTAAAGCCTCATTATGTAAAAAATATATGTGTATATAAATTGGACATTTGTTGTTGGCCAAACGAAAATAATAAGAGCTAAAAAAAGAGTCATGGTCAAGTTTGAGTTGTTGTACATCTAATTACGACACAACCTTAACAACATCCATCCTCACTGAAGACACAAAAGTTGCCTGTTATGCAGATTATATAGCCATATGGCACACAAGTAGCAGTACAGAAATATCAGAAAAATACTGAACACATCAATGAGAGGAGTGGAGAAGTGGGCAATGAAATTCAAAATGACAATAAACCCAATAAACACAAACCTATAGGTCTCCTTCACTGACAGGAAAAAGGGCATGAATTCAACTCCAAAATAAGCATAAACAATCATATAATTGATAAAATTTGATTTGCAAATTACCTAGGTGTGATACTTGATGAGGAATTGCGATTTACAGAACACATAATCAGCACCTCAAATAGAGCTACCAGAAACCTAAACATTCTGAGAAGGCTATGTGGAACAAATTGGGGAGCAAAACCCAAAATTCTCAGAACAACATATATCACCTTAATAAGGCCAATAATGGAATATGCAACACCTGTTTGGGCTCCCTCAAGTTCATCACTAAAAAGAAGACTAGACAGTGTTCAAGCAAAAGCGGCCAAATTAATCACTGGTTATATTTCAAATACCAACAATTAGAAAATTCAGAGAGAATGTGGTCTAGACCTACTTGAAAGCAGAAGACAATTAAAAACAATAAAATTCACCAATAACTTAAAAACTAAAGAAACCGAACACATATCCCATAGAACTAATTTAAACTGGACACAAAAAGAAAGGCTCAAAAGATCTTCAACACTTCAGTACAACAACAATATTAGAAAGAGCATAAAAATGAAACATAATGAATTTCAAATTCGAGAATAACCAATATTTCCTAGCCCATTGCCATCAAATATAATCATCAATCTTAACCTGAATGAACCCTGCAATAAAAAAGAGAACAAAAACATACTTAAAAAGAAAGGACTTGACACAATTGGTTTATGCGATCAGATAAATTATTTAACAGCATATACAGATGGATCATCAGACCTTACCATAAGTAATGGAGGGGCTGGAATTAACATAATACTGCAAGATGGAACATACATCAAAATCAAAGAAGGAGCAAGAAAGATTTCGTCAAACTTCACTTGTGAACTGGCAGCTATCTGGAAAGCTCTTGATGTATGCCTTAACCAACCATCCCTGCATCAAGCAGAAGGAATTATAATATACCGTACAACGACTTCATATCCGATCTAGAAGCAATTCAGAAGGGCAATACTATAATCACACAGAAAATACATTCGTTACTTACTCAACTGATATCATTGGAGAATAACTGCATTCTACAATGGATTCCTGCCAGTGTTTGGATAGGGGGTAATGAAATGGCAGTTGAATTTGAAAAGGAAGCAGAAAGTTGAGCCAAAGGAAAGAACAAATGTCATTATTTGACGCTAATGCTTTTGCAAAATACAAGATAATTAAACAAAAAATAAGAAAAGATCAAAATGTGAAATAAACTCCGAGAGAAAAATGACAAAACTATAACAAGATTTAGAACAAAACATTATAAAGGATGACAATACATCCAGATGGCACAAGAACCTATAGAACATGCAACAACTGTCCTGGTGTGGAACTAACACCTACCCACATATTCTCATGCCCGCAGCCTTGAAGAAATTTACATAGACCCAGAGCAGCTGCTTTACACACCCAAGATAGTGGACAATGCTGCTGCTGCAGTGATAGAGATGCACGGACAATCTGAAGTTCTTTATTGGACACGACAAAAACAACAACGGCATTCCAGAGTAAAATAAATCATCAGAGATAGATAAATATTTTTCAAATGAATTAAAATAAATATAATCGATACTGAGAGAAAGTTGAATTAAAAAAATAGAAAATTATTATTTTCGAAATTTAAAAAGCTGAGAGGATTCCAGCAAACCGCATCTAAAATATCTTTTTTTTTTTTTGCTACATGTTTAAATTTGCATATACCTATTTTACATATCTCAGATTGCATTTAAAAATAGTTAACCATTTCTTCTAACTTTTGGCGAAATGGTGTTTTATTAATTTATCATTTGATATTATTAGGGTTCTTTCCTGGTATTCAAAAAGAAAAAATACGTGTCGATCAGATTTATTTTTCAATTTATAAAACAATTTAGCCGCTGAATATCTGATTCTGGTAGAGCGCCATCTAGCGAATAAAATTTTAACTAAAATCAATTTCGAATTTTTCATTATTTGCCATAAAAAATCCCATTGCATCCTGAACAAAATGGTGTTTACCGTATTGCTCTAGCGCAAATATTCGCGGAGTTATTAATTTTTAAAGTTGTGCGGGACTTTTGGATCACCCTGTATATATAACAAATTACTCTGATTTTCAATTCTCATATTTTAAATGTATATATTTATTTATTCTTTATATATTAATATTTTATATACTATTTCATTATTATTTATTATATTTATAAACATGAATATTGTAGGTTTTAGATATTTTAAATTTTATAGCAGTTGTACATACTCGTGAATTGATACGCGAGCATCTCAAAACAATCTTGTTCCCCGAAGAAGTTTGGCAAGTTGTCACACGAAATATTGGAAATAAAACTTATGATCCAAAATAAGTGTCTTTAACTATTTCTAGGAATTTCTTTAAAACGCTTGATCAAACGAAAAGAATTTTGATATTCTACCTTTTCCTAAAGATCTCATCAGCTTTGGAAATCGAATAATTGAATTGTTTGTAAAGGCGGCAGAAGTGTTATCATTATGATAAATAAACGAGGCTCAGTTCAGTTAAATTCTTGATTCAATACTCTCCAAGTATCAACACGTACCTTGTAGAAGACTACGATTTGAACGATGTTAAGCTTATTTGTCTTACAATATGTATGAATAAATGGAATGCAAAAATGTAATTTTTGTTACACTTGAATATATATAAAAATCAGTTAAAACTTCATATGTCTATAAGAGTAAACAAGATGTTCATTAATCTGTGTTTGGAGATTAAATTAAATATATAAAAATATAATATATGTATTATTTATATAGTGATATATACGATTTTCATATTTATTTATTTGATAAAATAACCTTTTTTAACTATATATAACATGTATTTCTAGGTTTCCGCTAGATATATTAATATTCGTTTTCTCTTCAAATAAAGGTAAATAACACAGAGACACATATATAATTAAGTACTTACTTCAAAATAATTACTTTTGTAGTTTCAGGAAAGGCATCACCAGGCATCACCTTTGATATTATGTTGTTTTTAAAATCGAATTTTATAATTTGTGTTTCAAGAAAAAATCGGGGTTTGATTTCTTGTAGCCTATTTCCAGAAAATCCTAAAATGAGAACAGATCTTGGTAGTATGGCTGTCAGATTTCTCCATATCTCATCCAGGTAGCAGGATTCAAAAGATAATCCTATTAGATTTGTAAATTGGCTCAGAAATCCAATATTGAACGCTTGGAAATTTGGAGTATCCCTAAAAGTAAAAATCTAAATATTATTCTCCACCCGCCAAAGGCATTATGTGTGCCAAGTATCTTGACATTTATTCTATCAAAAGTCAATATTTTGAAATCTAAACCGTTGAAATAATTTGGAGATAGTATTGGTAGTATAAATCTCAGAAATTGAATGCTAATAAAAGGTTTCTGGGATCTTTTAAGGGCATTTTTTCATGATCCCGCATGTAAATGCACACAAGAGCTGGATAGTCAGAATGGGAGGGTCTAGTTTCACAATTGCAACCTGGAAAAAGGGTAAAGTCTACATCCGTACAGCCTTCAACAACTGTGATCAGCACCAGCAAATACTTCAGAATGAAAAACAACCTGCACAAATACCAAATATAAATATATTAATGATAATTAATATAAAAAATATAATATATTAAAATGGATATTTGGCTTTAGTAAAAAATGAAAATATATTTTTATTTCCATATTATCGGTATTAAGACCAATTTATATTATTTTATTGAGTCAGTTATATTATTGCAATATATTATTGTTCATTTTGCTTAGAATCTTTAAAAGAAACTGATTCCAAGAATATTATTCAAACATTATATTTATGTTATAAGAGAGGGAAAACAAAATATAAAAGAGAAACCTGTATTAAATTATTGGAACTTATTTTCAAACGGCTAACGCCTCTTTACTTGGATCATACACACACTTTGTTGGAAAAATTAATTGAATAAAATATATATCTTCTTATATAGAAAAGTCAATGTCTGTTGTCTGTATCGCGATAAACTCAAAACTTACTGAAACAATTGGTACCAAATTTTGTATGTCGCTTTCTATAAACCTGAGGAAAAATTCGGCTCTATTTTGATTAGTAATTTTGGTTACTTATTTTTTAGTTTGAAAATCTTCTTTTTACGCGGAGTAAATACGAGGCGAATTAACAAAACAAGGCCAATTGAGCGACCAATGAGCGTTCTGTATTTTTTTTTTCAAGTTTCTTGCGTACTTTTTTTAAAATATATTTTTATATAAGTGTTACTTTTTATACAAAAGTATTGAGTATTGAGAAAGAAATTTAAATTACTAACTAAGTTACAGTAAGTGCACACAATGCAATTTTTAAAAACTTTATAAAATTAGAGTTACTTTATGTAAATAATGGCTCTCGTATTTTTATTAATACTAGACGAATGGCCCGGGCAATGCCCGGGTTTTACCCGAGTGCGAATATATTTTAAAAACGTTTTAATTCAAATACTATTCGTTACAATTATAAATTGGCGCCATGGATGTCACTCTTGTGAAACGTCCCGTTCCAAACTGTGTGTTTTTAAAATGTTTTAACTATATATAATATAACGGTATAATAACGGTATAAAGAAATAATGAGCCTATAGCCTAGTGGTCATGGCATCTGCCCGGTAAGCGGAAGGTCGTGGGTTCGATTCCCATCCCTTGGCCTTGTATACAGCTTGCTTCCTAGGGTTGCCTAGAGTGGCCGCTATAGACAGGGTGGTCTGTATAGACAGGTGGATGTAGCACACTGATGATAACAGGGTTGCCTAAAATGACCGCTATAGACAGGGTGGTCTGTATAGACAGGTGGATGTATCACACAGCTGATAACAGTGTTGTCTAGAGTGGCCGCTATAGACAGGTGTATGTATCACACAGCTGATAACAGGGTTCCCTAAAGTGACCGCTATAGACAGGGTGGTCTGTATAGGCAGGTGTATGTATCACACTGCTGATAACAGGGTTCCCTAAAGTGACCGCTATAGACAGGGTGGTCTGTATAGACAGGTGAATGTAACACACTGATGATAACAGGGTTGCCTAAAGTGACCGCTATAGACAGGGTGGTCTGTATAGACAGGTGGTAGAGTGGTCGCTATAGACAGGGTGGTCTGTATAGACAGGTGTATGTATCACACTGCTGATAACAGGGTTGCCTAAAGTGACTGCTACAGACAGGGTGGTCTGTATAGACAGGTGGATGTAGCACACTGATGATAACAAGGTTGCCTAAAGTGACCGCTATAGACAGGGTGGTCTGTATAGACAGGTGGATGTATCACACAGCTGATAACAGGGTTGTCTAGAGTGGCCGCTATATACAGGTGTATGTATCACACAGCTGATAACAGGGTTATCTAGAATGGCCGCTATATACAGGGTGGTCTGTATAGACAGGTGAATGTAACACACTGCTGATAACAGGGTTGTCTAGAGTGGTCGCTATAGACAGGGTGGTCTGTATAGACAGGTGTATATATCACACTGCTGAATACAGGGTTGCCTAAAGTGACCGCTATAGACAGGGTGGTCTGAATAGACAGGTGAATGTAACACACTGATTATAACAGGGTTGCCTAAAGTGACCGCTATAGACAGGGTGGTCTGTATAGACAGGTGGATGTAGCACACTGCTGATAACAGGGGTGTCTAGAGTGGCCGCTATAGACAGGGTGGTCTGTATAGACAGGTGGATGTAACACACTGTTGATAACAGGGTTGTCTAGAGGGGGGCAGGGAGGCCACGTGTTCGCCGGCAGCCAATGGGCGCGCATTCTATCCGTGAACTTCAGACAGTGAGCTTCAGACAGTGAACTTCAGACAGTGAACTTCAGACAGACAGAATAAGGCAATTATATAAGTAGATTTGTATTGGCTTTGTTTTTTAATCTTTTTTTTTTTAAATCGTTTAAAATGCAGTCGCAGTTATTAGCAAACACCTTGTTTAGAGGAAGTGCTCTTAAATTATTATTGATTTTGAAATATATTATATTATATATATATAAATTATATAATTAATAATATCGAGAGTTATGAACGCGGAACAGATGACAAATTTTCCAACACAATAAATAAGGAAATTCGAAAAGATATTTGTTTTGACCTCATATATGAATATTATTTTGAAGAACCCCAGGTGTTTGAAGGTTTGATAATATGTGTGTAGAATTGTATTCATCATTATGATCTCCTTTCAAAGCGTAAAATATTGCAATTAATCCATTAACCATCGCCATAATGGAGAGTATTAAGGTCTTCCCATTTTAAAGACATGGATATTTTTTTTTTTGAGAACAAGAACACTTGATAGGAATTCTTTTTTCAAAAAAGTAAGGTATTGTAAATCTATTACAGATATTTTAAAATGATAATTAAATGAGAAAAAATAACTCAGAAATATCCAAATTTAATTTAATCAAGATGACACTAAACCATAAACGGCGCTCATGACGTTGACGAATATCGGGGTATGGGAGAACATTAATGCCTTACCCTGAGTATAGCCCTGATCTGGATACCTCAGACATTTCTTCTGAAAATTAGATAGTGTTTTATGTAGTAAAGCGCGAATTTCAAAGTGATGCAATTTAATACAAGTTGTACGAGAGGTGTTGGAAGAGTTGGATTAAGAGTTTCACCAAAGTTATTTTTCATGTTGGCAACAAGCCGAATAAAATATGCACAGAAGGAAGGTAAATATATTGAAAGAATCAAATATATTGTGGTTTTTTAGTAGGTCCTATATAAAGAATTTTAGTTTTCAAGAAAAATGTATTCCTGTTGTGCATTATTTGTTATTGGCCTAGCCTTGTATATTATATCTATATATTCGTTTCTCTTTAACATTCACGTTGCAGTTACACATTCAGAAGAACCATGTAATTCGAAAGATCAGTAGTTAACCATAATAATAAAATAAACATCAGCCTTTTCTTCTCTTAAACCTTTTGTTATATATATATGAATATATAATTAATTAGGAGTTTGTTATATGTTATTATTAAAATATTTAAATAACAGTTATATTTTAACCAATCACACACAGAGAGGGAAAGTCTAATAATGTATACAGCTAAATAATCTCAATCAATTAGTATTAATTCATTTTTAATGTATAAAATTTCTTTTTAAGAGTGAGTATTGAAAATAACATACGATTTTTAAGTATTCAAACAATAATCTAACAAGTCTATAATGGAGCAAAATAAAAAGGTATTTTAAAATTTCATTTTCTAATTATCTGGTAAAATTCTGTGAGAGAGGAAACATAAAAACAAATATTTTCGTAGATTGTAGATGGATGAAAGGAAATGCAGTAATTGTGATGAAATGTCTGGTAATAGTTCACAAAACACTGAAGCGAAATTCGGTAGAAGAATTCGTTGTAGTGATTCTTTGTGGGCTGTTGCAAGGATTTAAATAAGATCACTAAATAGCAGAAAGGAGGGGGTAAAAGTCTCCTTCTAACTAACTTTATTTAATACAACTTAAGAGGACAGAGGAAAACACCCAACTGGTCGGTAGCAGACCAAGCCGTGTTCTGACCCTTTGTTGGCGTCTGGCGCCGCCGGGGTTTGTTTACAGTCACCCAAGCCGTCTGGACTGCGTCAGGAATAATGGATCTCAACCATTCCACACAGTAATTATCCAAGAACAATGCAACACTGATACATGGTTTTTACGTCTATTTATTTGGAAGATATCTTAATTTTTGTGAAGAAAAGATCGAGAGATAGAACTTGCCTACCATTCTTTTAGGTTGAAGTGTTTCTCTCTTATAAGTCTGATTATATATAGAAGCCTCTATTCATCTCTTTATGATAATAAACTCTCAATAATTTTAGATAGTTGAGATAGGTTTATATGTGTGATATTGCTCATTATATTGAATATATATATTATATATATATTAATATTATATCTAAAATTGAATATTTCATATATTAAAACACAACAGAAAAATGAAACCTAATCATATTCCATTTTAGGATAAATGTTTTATTACTATCTTAACTCCATATTATCCAATATCATTGGGGTGCTCAAAAATAATTTAAAAACCTCTAAATATATAGATAATAGGTGAAATCAATAAATATATAAATAGATGCATCCTGATCAACTTCAGAAATATAGAGCCTAGGATTTTTATTAGAAAGGGAGATATGCTTTTAGAGCACGTGTACAGTCAATTATATATTAATATTCGAGGCTTATTACAATAAGAAGTCATGACTTACATTTCCAACTTCCTTTTTAACCGAGCAAATAAAAATGAATGACTATAGGCTTTAGTAAATCTGGTGGATATCACGAACACAAGAGACCTATTATGTAATTCACATCTGTACGATTTGGTGATAAATATTGGAGAATAATCTAAAAATCACAATAGAAGAGCTGTTTATGGGGAATATCCTGCTATTTCGTCAGAAGGTAGTTGCTTTCAAAATAGAAGAGAGAAAGATTAATTTATTTCAAATACTAAAGAAAAACATAATATTTTTCATATTTGAATTTGAGCCCCTTATTTTTATTTAAATATAATTATTGAAGGGTTTTAACAAAACTTTTATTTTGGCACAAAACTTTTTCAAATCCTTAACTGCGGGTAAAAAAAGGGTTCAAGATTTTTCCTTTTTCGAAATAAAAATCTTTTGAATATAGACATATTTCCTTTTAATGGCAGAATAATAAACAATTTACCTTGTCTTTCTCGTTATGGAGTAAATCATGTGAAGATATATCGTTGAAGGCATCTGCAGATATTCTTTATAACATCTCCTGATGTTCAAACTGAAGCTTTCTGGTAGTTGTCGCCATCTACAGCTTTAAATATACCCATCATTGATTTTTTTAATTAATTCTATGATCAACATCGATTCATTTCAATATATGACTCGAAACATCCACAGCTTTCAGTTCTTTACTCTTAAGATTTATTTTTTATTATTTATCAATATGATCCCAGTAAATTTTCAGTTTTTAGACATGTTAAAGGCATTGAGTATAATCATTGGCAATGTGTTATAGCCTAAAATTAATAGTAAATACTATTTCCTTTCTCTCTTTTTCTTTTAATGAAATGGGTTTGAGATTTCGATATTTTTTATTCGGTGGGATACAATTCTTTCTCAACAATTTTTAGTGTTTAGAATTTTATTATTTTCAAATATATTTAAATTTTTTACCAAAATATTTATTAATATTAATAGTCATTTGATTTGAAAGTAATTTGTTCTTACTAAGGACAAATATAAGCATTCGTCTTTTTTTGTTTTGTTATAATTCATACAAATCTTTTACGATATAAATAAATTTTCAAACAAATTTTGAATTAATGAAGCAATTGAGATAGAAAACCACTGTTTAGCCAGGCCCTCTCATTTATTGAAATTAGATGACATTTGTTATTGATAATGTTTTTTTTTTATGGATCAGGATATGCCTACTTTATTTTTAATATCAACACCTTACCATTTTATTCTTCTATTGTTTTTTTTCATGTGTTAAGCATATTTACGCAAGTTTGGCCTTAAATACCCATTTATTGGTTTTTCAGGAAGCCACTGGGATCAAAATTATTTTTGGTCCCAGTGGTACATCCTACTCCACGCTGACGAGCACCAACAGCGCGAAACGCGTTTGTGGATGGCTTTTCTTGACTTATCAAG